CCTCTTCCACAGTGAGTAAGCTCTGACTCGTGTGACCAATAAAATACTGCAGAAGTGATCATGTGTGACTTCTAGGTTAGATTATAACAGACATTGCTGCTGCTTCCTTGGTCTCTTGGATCATTCACTCTGGGGGAAGCCAGTTACTATGTAGTGTAGACACTCATACAGCCATGGAGAGGCCCACACCGAGGGGGAACAGAAGCTTTACCCAGGACTAACCTGTCAGCCACCTTGGAAGTGGATTCCCTAGCCCCAGTCAAGCCTCCAGATAATGGCAGCCCCAGCCAAAATCTGACTTAATTCCATGAGAATTCCAGAGCCCAATTGTGTAGCTAAGGCGCTTAAAATTTCTGACCAACAGAAACTTTAAACAGATAATAAATTTTTATTGTTTTTTTTAAAGATATTTATTGTTGTTTCAAGATTTTGGGTAACTTGTTAGGCAGCAATAGATAATTAATACAAGGGGTTGAGAGTTTGGGCAGCAGCAGTGCTCTTGAAGCCAACAATCCAGCTATTTTACCACTTTCCCAATTGGGGCAAAGATAGCAGCTCCCTCTTGGGCCTCTTTGGCCAAATTGTGCTGAGAAGCATTCTTGATCACCTAGCCTAACGTCCACATCTCCAGTTCTTCCAATGACTTTATAAGCATGCATTCTCTGTCTTACATCTTTTTCTGCCTTTAAGTAGCTGAACTGGTCTCTGTTCCCTGCAATTAAGCTTAACCTAATAAAAATACCCATATCAAATCAACAGCTAGATGCTAGAGGCATTCCTGTTAAAGTCAGGAATAAGACAAGTTGGCAATCAAGACTATTATTTGACATCAATCTGGAAGTGCTATTTCCTTTTTTTTTTTAAGGCTTGGAACCTGAGCTAACAACTGTTGCCCATCTTCCTTTTTTTTCCCTCCTTTTTCTCCGCAAATCCCCCCAGTACATAGTTGTATATCTTAGTTGTGGGTCCTTCTAGTTGTGGCATGTGGGATGCTGCCTCAGTGTGGCCTGACAAATGGTGCCATGTCAGCGCCCAGGATCCAAACCTGCGAAACTCTGGGCTGCTGAAGTGGAGTGTGCGAACTTAACCACTCAGCCATGGGGCCAGCCCCCGTGGAAGTGCTATTTCATTATTAGTCAAGATAACGAAATAAGAATCGCAGAGGAGGCAAAATTGTCATTATATATTATAATGTGATCTAATTGTCCAGTAGGAAAATTTGAATGAATCAGCTGAAAATAAAAACTATTAAGGAAGTTCAGTGGGGTATTCAGTTAAAAATTAGCAAAAAAGATCAATAGTTTTTCTGTGTAGCAACAAAAATCACTTAGAAAATACAGACAATAAATAATGTAGTCCAATAACAAAAAATGCATAAGATAACTGGGAAAAATAAATGAATAAGTTTAATGCAATTTCCATAAAAATTCCAGCTTTTATATAAACTTGGAAAATTTTATAAAGTTATATGGAAGAATAAATATTTAAATATAGATAGAAAATTCTGATAAAGCAAAACTAACAAAGAAAAATTTGTCCTATGAGATATTAAAATTTATTATAAAGTTGCAATAAAAATGGAGTGATTTTGCTTCCAAAGTGGTTAGAGTGATCAATGAAGTAGAAGAAAGAGACCAGAAATGGATCCAACTAAACGTAAGAATCTTATATATGGCATACATGTTGGGAAATCACTGGGGCAAGTATGGGTTGTTCAATAAATTGCATTGTGGCAGATAACTTTTTGAAACTTATATTCCTATGTCCCAGTTTATACCAGAATAAATTCCATCTGGATCTAAATGAAATAATCACTTATAGTTAAAAACTCAGTAAAACATAAATAGAAATAATTAAAGAAGTTCTAAAACATATAGGTAAACATTAGTATTATTTAGGCCAATAAAGTCTAGGCTTAACATCAAAGCCAGAAACCATGAAGAAAATATTGAAAGACTGACTATTTAAAAACTATAGCAAAAGAAGCAATTTTAGTCCTTCTCTCTCCCAACAAATGATTGAGGGCAAAAAATTGGAACATATATAAGAGATAAGGGTATGTTTTCCTTATAATGCAAAGAGTTCATATAAATCAAGAAGGAAAAAGACAAAGTTTCCTTGACAAACATTTTCTTCCACGTCAGAGAAAAATAGGCTCAAGAGGTGAAAAAGCTGTTCACATTAGAAGACAAAAGTGGTCATGTGAAAAACATTCAACGTTCTAATAATCAATGCAAATTTCACAAAAAGATGCCACTTTTATATTTGGATTGACACATTTTAAGAAGAACAGATACACTGTAATTGAGTGTGTAGGAACTAAATACTGTCATACACCATTAGTGAGAGATACTTTTCCATAGGTAATAAGGATCTATGTATAAAAACTGTACCAGAAATTCTACTTCGAAGAATTTATCCTAAGGAAGTTACAGGATAAGTGAACAAAGATGTTTGTACAACATTATCATGTGGATTATAATAGTGAAAAATTCAGTACAACCTAAGTGTTATCAATGAGGAACTGGTTGAATAAAAGTTGGAAAGTTCATGAAATGGAATTCTAGACAGTCACCAAATATAAGCATGTGGGTCTATATTTAGTTGCATGAAAGATGCACACAATATATTCATATCAAAACAGTAGAGTTCAAAGAAATAAAATAAAACAATGTGTGTCTGTACATAGAAAAACTCTTTATATAACAAAACTTTTATTAAAGTTACTTTTGGGTGGTTAGATTGTGGGTAATATCCTTCTACATTTTATCCATTTCTGCGCTACCTGAATCTTTTGCAATGATCTTTATAACTAGAAAAAGAAAAAACAGCTGTGAAGGAGAGAGTGAGAAGAATGAGGAGAAGAAAAGGGAGGAAGGGTAAAGGAGAGGGGAGCTATTTTGGGGGAGGTTTACCCTTGCTTCACTTGCTTTTTTGTTTTCTGAAGCTACATGGTAAAAACTTCCTTCTCTTTCAGTTTTCTACTTTTCTCTTAATCCAAATGCAGAGGCTCTTAAGCCATGTATATTCAAACCCAAATCTTCTAATTTAGGAAAAAAATCTAATAAATCAATCCATGATCTTGAAATTTGCCTAAGGAGAGAATGCAGATGGATGGGATTACTAGCCACACAAACACCTGCAACTCAAGGCAGGCCAGACTGATCACCTTAAACTGTGCACTGTTCTTTCTTAGCAAGACCTTTCCTAATGGGAAGGTTAAGAAAGACATGGAGGTCATTTATTTATTTTTCTAGCTACCATAGGTCATACTTTTGCCCCTTGAAGAATTGTTTTCATTTAGTTGAGCTTTAGCGTTATGCCTTCAGCCAAAACTGGAGACTTTCTTCATTTATTCATTCAACAAATATTTATTGAAGCTTAAGCTGTGCTTACATACTGTTCTCGATATTCGGGACCTAACAATGTCCAGCTTTCCGGGAACTTGTTTTCTAAAGAAACAGTCATATAAAAATAGCTATTGTTGAAGCTATCTGCTACTTTATCAGTATCCCATAGAGAAGTTGTTTTAAGATAAGAACTGGAAAAGTAGTTGAGGAATTCATATATACTTTACTCATGAGCAAACAAAGGAAAGTTTGTTTCTCTGTTTGTTTGGGCTGCCGGGAAGCTTAGTCTATTGTTAGATCAGTTTGAGTAACTACGTAAGATTTTATGTCTATCCTATTCCGTTACTAACCTTTCCCCCTATTGGAATTCCTTATCTTCCTATTTTATCTATATTTTCACTGGCATTGCCTTTTTAAAAATTTGAATTGTTTCGTTTCACTGTAATCTAACGTTTTTGTGAACTGCTTCAAATTTCAAATAGTTTGTGGGATTAGAGGACCAAGATAAGCAACACCATGAGGAAACAGACAAATCCAGAATGTAGTGCATTTTTCAACACGACTGACCCTGTCTCTTCAAAAAACCAATATTAAGAAAAACTAAAAAGTGAAAGGGGCTATTCTAGTTTGAGAAATGGGGAAAAAAAATCCACAAAAACATAATAACCAAATGCAGTAAGTGACCCTTGGTTGGATCCTGGCTCAAAAGAAAATATCCCCTATAAATGATTATTTTGAGGAAAGCTGAGAAAATTTGAATATAGTGTGTGTAAAAGATAATATTAGCAAATGATTGTTAATTTTCTCAAGGTCTGATAATAGTACTGTGATTATGAAAGAGAATGTGCTTTGTTTTAGAGATGCATACTGAAGTATGTTGGGGTGGTGTGTTTTGTCTGTAACTTTTATAAACATTTATACACAGGTAAAGCACATATGGCAAAATGTTAATTGTTGAACTCTTGAGCCTGGGCATTGGGTAGTATTGTTGAATTAGAGTGGATACTGCACTATTCTTTCACATATTCTGTATATTTGGAAATTTTTATAATGACAACTTGGAAAAATTTATGTATGAACGAGTTATTTACTTCTTTTTTCTTTTAGAACTCTGTGTTTGAGTGAAAAGATGTTGTATTAGAACGGAAGGGAAAAGGAGCAATTTTAAGCGGGATCTGATCACCAGTCTTTTTCTTTCTTGATTTATATGAACTCTTTGCATTATAAGGAAAACCTATCTTTGTCTCATATTTTTTCCAATTCTTTTTTCCCGTTGATCATTTACCGAGAGAGGAAAGGAGTGCAATTGCTTCTTTTTCTATAATTTTTAAACAGTCAATCTTTCAAAATTTTCTTCATGGTTTCTGGCTTTGATGAGAAACCCAGGCTAACTTTAAGATTATTCATAAGTTTGGTATCTAAATGATCAATACTGAGTGAGACTGGTTATACTAGAAGTGGAAGCCAGAATACAGAGAACTGAGAAGAGAAACAGAGTAGACCCCTTTTTCATTAAATCTAGTGTTTGTTGTTATTTTTGCCGCTGTTACTACGACACCATTGGAAAGCTGGAATTACTCCCGCCTCAGCGCTCTCTGAACTCTCGCGATACCAGAGTCCGGTGGAGCGCGAAACGCCGTGGGCGGGGCTGGGGAGAGATCGGCTGACTTCCGGCCAGGCCGTTGTCTGGGTGGCGCGGTCGAGTCATCCCTGGGCTTCGCCGCTCGGATCTCCCATCCCTCCCCCCGCCCCGGCGCGGGGGGTCGACCAGCCGAGTGGGGCGGGAGGCGACCCGGACCCTCCTCTCCGTTTCGTTCTGGCCAGCTCCCTGGCTACCCGCGCTGGGGCCTGGGGTCCTTGGGGCCCGCGAGGCCCGGTCTGAGGGGCCGGGGCCTACGTGGGCCCGCAGCTGGGCCCCATGAGGCATAGCCTGACCAAACTGCTGGCGGCCTCCGGCGGCGATTCCCTAACCCGCAGCGAGAGCCCGGCGCCGGCCGCGACCTGCTCCCTGCCCGCGGACTCGACCCGGGCGGCGGCGGCGGCGGCGGCGGAGGAAGAGACGGCGGCGGCCGGATCTCCCGGCCGCAGGCAGCCCCGCGGCGACGAGGCCGAGTTGGAGGCCGGGAGGGGGGGCCGCGGCGGTGCGGCCGTGCGCGCGCCCTCGCCCGAAGAGATGGAGGAGGAGGCGGTCGCCAGCGTCCCCGGGGAGGAGACGGAGGATATGGACTTTCTGTCCGGGCTGGAACTGGCGGATCTCCTGGACCCCCGGCAACCGGACTGGCACCTGGAGCCCGGGCTCAGCTCGCCCGGGCCTCTCTCCTCGTCGGGCGGAGGCTCAGATAGCGGCGGCCTGTGGAGAGGGGACGACGACGACGAGGCCGCGGCTGCCGAGATGCAGCGCTTTTCTGACCTGCTGCAGAGGCTGTTAAACGGGATCGGAGGCTGCAGCAGCGGCAGTGACAGTGGCAGCGGCGAAAAGAGGCGGAGAAAGTCCCCAGGAGGAGGCGGCGGCAGCAGCGGCAACGACAGCAACCAGGCGGCGACAAAGAGTCCCCGGAAGGCGGCAGCGGCTGCTGCCCGTCTGAATCGGCTGAAGAAGAAGGAGTACGTGATGGGGCTGGAGAGTCGAGTGCGGGGTCTGGCAGCCGAGAACCAGGAGCTGCGGGCCGAGAATCGGGAGCTGGGCAAGCGCGTGCAGGCACTGCAGGAGGAGAGTCGCTACCTACGGGCCGTCTTAGCCAACGAGACCGGACTGGCTCGCTTGCTGAGCCGGCTGAGCGGCGTGGGACTGCGGCTGACCACCTCGCTCTTCAGAGACTCGCCCGCCGGTGATCATGACTACGCTCTGCCGGTGGGAAAGCAGCAGCAGGACCTGCTGGAAGAGGACGACTCGGCGGGAGGAGTGTGTCTTCATGTGGACAAGGATAAGGTGTCGGTGGAGTTCTGCTCGGCGTGCGCCCGGAAGGCGTCGTCTTCTCTTAAAATGTAGGGTCAAGTAATCTGCTCTTTATCCGCGTTTACCCCTTTCAACTCCCTTACACCATGTAAAACACTTTAGTGGGACATCTTCACTGGACACATTTCAGAGGAGGAAAAAAAAAAGTAATATTGAATCTTTAAGTGTTTAGCTAAAAGCATGAATGTGACACTGTAACCAACTCCTAATGATAACATGTGACTATTAAATCTCTCTGACAGTTTCTTTTTTAGGTGATTTCCTTCCTGCCAGGCTCCGTTGTAGGGGTTACAGAACAGTCGTTCCCGCCTCACAACCTGGTAAGGATCCATCTCTTCACGTAACGCTCATGCTCTGCTGCTTAGTCTACTTTAATGGGCAACATCTCAAGTTGTGTGTGTGTGTGATTTTTTTTTTTTTTCTTTCTTGGAAGGTGGGAGGGAAATCTAATTTGGGCCCTGTCCACCCTGGAAACAGACTTGTGCTGGTCAATAATGTCTTTAAGATGCTTCTTCTGGTTGAAATAGCTGTTAATGTGTCCCCTTGTTCAGACTTGCGTGTACCTAGCTCTTCTGTCCCCAGTGTGGACATGGCCTTGGATGACATCGGTTCCAACTGTACACTGAAAGCTGCTAATAGAGATACAGTTTGGAGACAGTGAAACAGGTGAAGTTGAATGGAAGTTCCGAGTTGTACAAGGTGCAAATTGGAATTCCAATTTTAGAGCAACTTTTCAGAGGTTGACAATAAGTATTGGGGGCATGCACAAATGTGATAGCTATTTTGCTTGGAGATGACAGAAATCTCTTAAATATTCAAGAATGCCTTTTAGTTTTCCGTAGAAAATCTAGAAATACAGTCTATTCAGATTAACAGATTTTAACCTCTCACCAATAGAGAAGTTGGAAATTAATATGCATATCAGACTTCTGTGTTAGTTAATTGAAGGAGGAATAAGAATGGTTGATGAAATGTTTCTTTGAGGACCAGCACAGTGGTAACCCTATCACTGAGTATGAATAAATTGTTGAACACCTTTATTTTTGTTGTATTAAAATTTTAGGTTAAATTTTTGTATGATTAGATATTGAAGGTTGTGAAATGTGAATGAAAACGTGTAAAGTGAGGCTTCACAAAGAATCTTATTCTCCATATTTAAACGTATTTGTCCTATTTAAAAATAGTTTTTAAAATTGAGTGGTTCTGGCTACTTAATGACACGATGGACACTTTTTCCAAAGGTGGGACATATTTTTCCCCTGAAGTACTCTATTATCTATTGTCCAGTTGTATAAATTGAGTTACGGTGTCCTTCAGTGTAAGAGGCATTAAGAAATTCTTTGTGAAACATCACTGTTTGATAAAGTATATACGTATTTAGCATCCTTGTTTTTCTTTGTGCTAAAGTGGATACAGCTGTTGGGGCAGAAGAGACGGGACCAGCTGCTGGCCACATTTCCTGCTTTATTTTAAAAGGTAGTATAAGAAATGAGGAAAAAGAGGTAATATCAGGGCTTCTGCTGTCTTTTATTTTAAAATGTTCATAATAAGTATTTTCCAGCAGTCCAAAGATGTAAGTTATCTTACACATAAAATGTTTTATTTTGTTGTTATTTGGTTATGAAAATGGAATCCTTGTTCTTGCACAACTGTAAATGTTTTGTTGCTAGATAATACGATTTGAGACAGAACTTGGTCTCTGGTTTCCAGTGCATCACAGCATATTTTGTAAAATCATCTGCACTTGAGCATGAATGGGTAGTAGCCAAACTCACAACCTGGAGTGATGAACCTGCTTATACCTAAGTGCAGGAGCAAGCCCCTCACAATGCAGCTGCATGGATTTTTAGTGCCTACTGAATTATATATATATATATATATATATAAAAACCAAAAGTAGTTGGAAAAATTATTTGAAATGACTAATTTGTGCTATCTTTATGGAATATGTTAAATGTAGCTTTTTGAAACAGAAGCCTTGAATTGAAATTTAATTAATACTTGAACATTTTGTATATATTTCTTTGTATATAATTTTGTGCAGTACCAATGACAAAAATACGGTGTCATAATAAAACCAGGTTTGTTGATCTTTCAGTTATGGGCTCAAAGAATTTATTCATCTCTAACATGACATTGGAAAATAATGGATGAAAATAGGAAAAATGATTGTTGTTAATGCTGACTGTGGGTCTTAAAAGGTTCTGGAAGCAGTAAGTGCGTTTTTCTAAAGATTATACCATTCCCTTGGAATATCTTCTTCCTAATGTCAGAGCTTTTCCTGCATTATTTGAAGTTTGGGGCTGGGGAGAAACAGTAGTCAAAGCTTTCTGAGTTGGGATGCTTTGACATTCTAAGTGTAGATTTTTAGAATGTCATTTTATAAATGGCAGTTTTTGGAAATACTTGATTAAGAACTTTTGAAAATGGAGATTAGTATCACCTATTTTTAAAGCTGCTTTGTTAGGTTCCTTATGTTTTAACTGTCTTAGTTTCCATTTCATTCTCTTTTTTTTCTAATTTTGGTAACTTAGTGATTTTGTCATTTTTTACATCAACTTCATGGTCTTGTTTTTACATGGTATTGCATGTATTTAGGACCTATCTAACAGGGGCTTTAAATAAATTTGGTCATATTTATGTGTAAGCACATTTTACTGTAAATGTTTGAGTTTCTGAATTTACAACAGATCTGTTTATTTCAGTATGTGGTAAACAATATCTTAAAAGTGTCCTATTCACTACTTGTTAATTAAAAAAGTTATGATTAATATGAAACTGTTGTCTTACTATTTTTAGAAAACTGTGTTTTGAATGAATAGTAGTTGGATAAAGGAGATTTCTGAAATATAGACTGCTTTGAAATTTTCAGGTTTGGCTCTATTTACTGTAATGGATAAAAAAATTTAGTATTTGGGGAACTTTTTTTTTTTCCTAATTGTGTCTCTATTGGCAAAATGATAGAGAACTAGACTAAAGATGTAGCTTTTTAATATTTGTCTTCTGATGGTGACAGGAATTCATACATTAATTGAACTAACACATCATAATGACCTACTGTTTCTATCATTGACTTACTGTTTCTGCACTTCCTTGACCAGACTTAACTAAAAAGTCCACGTTTGTTAAGATGTAGTCACACCTTTGATATAATCCAACAAAAAGTGTTCAAAATATTTTAAATATTTGTGCATTTTATAATCACTAAATTAATCTCTCTCTCTTCTCTTTAAACAGCTTAGCAGTGTCTACAAAAACGAATCTTTTCCTACAACCTGTTAACTGACTGGACTGATGGTAACAAAGTAATTGTGGGAGCCATGTCGGTCAAAAATTTGGCATCTGCTGAAAAAAATGAATGCCATTTTCAAGTTCCCAAATTACTTCTGTACTGATTTCACTTTCCAGAAATGGAGATATGAAAAGATTCTCTGGAATCCTTGAAAGACTTAATAGAAATACATGAGACTAAGCTAATTTTGGAACAAAATTATTTTTTTGTCTTTCATGGAGTGATTCTCACTTCTTTGCATACCTTTTAAAAATTGTCACCATTGGAGAAGAGAATTATAGTATTTCATCAAGGCATATTAGATTCGTTACATAATCAAGAGCACATTCTATGGAATTACATTTAGTGGAGTAGAATTACATAAACAGGCCATCAGTGATCACAAGGCATATCATGAGTTTGTATTTGTTTCCTGGAACATGAGAGCTAATCTGAAGTACAGACAGACCTTGCTGAGTAGAAAAGTTAATGTAAAGTCCTTAACTATAAAGAGTAGTCTTTAAATAGATGCACTGATTTATATCTGTATATCTTTGAAAAAATTGATTATGATTAAATGTCTGGGTAGTTAATTGCAATTCAGAGTAATACCAGGATGTGTGCATTATGAGGGTTTGGCTTGAGCTTTTCTCTGAGTACTTGACATTTTTTTGAATATTTTGAGGTTTCTAATGAATGGTATACTAGTTTCTACTGTTTTGTATTAAACTTTCTCTAGTGTTATGTAAGGGCTTTAGTATTCTGGATGATGGGAGTGGCTTTTTTTGTGGAATATGGTTGTTTTATTTAATTGAAACATTTTTCCAGTTTATTACAAGTGTGAAAAAAACACTCAAAACTCTGATTGTTTAATTTCATTTTTGTTGGATTATGTTAATACATTCTTTCACCTGGTCTAGACTGAGTCGTATTATCTTACTGACTCTTTTTTGGGAAGTGTGCAGATGATAGAATTGGGGGAGGGTAAGAGATAGGCTCTTATTTCTTTTCTTTCCAGAATGATTCATCATAAATGACTATACAGTTTGGTTATTGTATGATATTATACAAACCTTATTAAATCCTCTTAGTTTCTTGTAATCTAAGTGTATTCAGTGCCTATGATGTCAGGCAGTAAAGAACATTCCTAACGGCTCATACTTAAGTAACTAGTGGATGCTCCTGGAGTACAAACAGTACAGCTAATTGTAATTCCACAATCAAAGATTAGGCATCAACACTAGTGACCATAACTACTGCTTTGTTAAAACACAGAGTGGGTAATTCACTGATAATGAATAATTATCTTTTAAAGTGTGTGATTATCTAGTTTCAGCATTTTGAAGTTATAGTTTAAGGTCTCACTAATTTAGTCAGGTTTTTAAGCAAAATAATCTCATGACTCTTAAAAGTCAAATAGATAGTAAAATATTTTCAGGTGTTTTTCCCAAACTCACTGTCAATACAAAGTTTGGAGACCCTCCCAAATGATTATATTTTTATATTTTACTGTGCTGTTTATTCTTCAGAAACCAGGAACTTACCTTCTAAGCTGGGGATTAAAAAGGAAAAGTCTTCCATTAGAAACTTGGAGAGTTTTTTTTCTGGCCAGCACAGTATTTTTCACATAATACGAGCTTGAATATTTCAGTACTCTTTCCATCAGGCTTTCACTATTGTCTTATAATACCAGACTGGGCTCTGAGCTCTGACCTAGACTGCAAATGGTCATTTACATTCAGTTTTGAAGTGCAGAAAAGTTAAACTGGAGATAATTTAAATTTTATTCATAAGTAAATTATCATTAGGAACATAAATCATGTAATATCAGAGAAAAATTGACTTTTTTTTTTTAAGATACAAGTACAGAAAGTTGCCTGTTAGCTTGCCTTTTTCACTGCTTTGGTTACTGATGATAGTGTTTTTATTCTTAGTTTTTTACCTTTCCCCAGTTTGTACATTCAAGATTTCTTATTTAGAGCTATCTGCCCCACTTTTTTTTTTTTCCCGAGGAAGATTAGCCCTGAGCTAACATCTGCCAATCCTTTTTTCTGAGGAAGACTGGCCCTGAGCTAACATCTGTGCCCATCTTCCTCTACTTTATATGTGGGATGCCTGCCACAGCATGGCTTGCCACGCGGTGCTATGTCCGCACCCGGGATCCGAACCGGTGAAATCCTGGCCACTGAAGTGGAACCTGTGAATTTAACTGCTGTGCCACCAGGCCGGCCCCTGCCCCACTTATTAAAAAGAAGCCAGTTCACAGTGGACTTCAGTAATTGTTGTAATTTTGTTGACCCCAAAGTACTGGCTTTTCACAGATATTTTACTCAATTTTTAGTTAATCTAACTTATAAATCTAGTCACTAATAGTGTTTTAAATATTTGTGTAGTTCTGTTAATATGCAGAGATTTGAGTTTTGTTGGTGGCCTAACTTCCTTCAGCCTTCCGAATTCTCTTATCTTTCCTGTAAACGCAGTGAGGTCAATTTCCTAGACTCCTGGCTTTTAGTGTACTATAGTTTGGGATTTACAAATTATATTACTATCTTAATTTTAGTATAATAGGAACCCTCTCTCTTTTTTCAAAGCCAAATAACTATCCAAAGTAAATTGTAGAAGACAGATTTGAATAGTTTATTTATTGTGACTCAACTATTAAAACCTGATGGAGGCAGTGTTCTTTAGGTCTTAGCTACAAATGACTGTTTCCTTAAACTACTGCAGATCACAGCAGGTTCACATTGTCACTTATCTGCCCCCTGAACAAAAATTTTGATAAAGTAGCTAGCAAAGGATTTAAAATAACATGTTCTTTTGCTTATGTTGCCCATTTCTACTAATTGAAAAGATGATTTAAGAAATACATGGTAGAGGACAGATGTTAGAAAGAAATCCTTTTTGGTTAGAGAAACCCTTGTGAACTCATATCCATTTATAGATGGTGGTATGCTAGGGAGTAAATACTGTGGGATGTTTAAAGATAAGGAAACAATTTATACTAAATTATCAATTTAGTTATAAGTGGGTTATAATTAGCCAAGTTGGTTGCACCATTCTCTATTTTAAGGAGTCTAATTTAGTAATTTGGGTTTCTTGTTTTTGAAGTCAGGAGTTACTTTTAATTCATTGCTTTTTTCACTGTGATAAGTAGAACTCTGCTTTAAATAAAAGTGACAATGCATATAAAAGTATAATTTTGGGTCAGAGAGCTTTCTCTTGATATTCCAGCTTGTAAAATGAACAGGTAATTTTTTTTCCTTTTAAATTATATTTTTTTTCCTAGTGCAAAAGTAAAGCATATTCATTATGGAAAACTAGGAAAATCCAGAAAGGAATCAAGACAAAAAGAAAAATCACCCATAATTCTGTAACCCAGAGAATATCCACAGTAAAACAAATTTTTTTGGCCTCATAATTGGGATTATTTCTTGTATAAATTTGGTACGGGGAATACATTTTAGGTACCTGTTGAAAGAACGAATAATCTTTGCTTTCTGAAAAACTGAAAATGTATTTTGTTTATTTCACTTGAATTTTAAATCTTTTTGCTGCACTGCTTATTTTCTTTAAAGAGACACTGAGAGCCTCTTTCACTAATGAAGCTGCCTTTTCTAGGTGACAGGCTAAAATTCTCTTTTCATATAATCCTAAATAGCATAAGATTACTTAACAGACATTTCACTGTATTTGGAAGGAATAGTTAAGATGCTTGTGAATATGATCTAGTATGGCACTCTATTTTGTTTGGTATGACTGGCTTGTTTCATAAGAAGGTGTTGGTCTAGATCTCTGCTGTCCAATACTGTAGCCATTAGCCTGTGGCTAAAATTTTAAATTAATTAAAAGTAAAAATCCAGTTGTTCAGTTACACTAGTCACATTTCCGGTGCTCAACAGCCACATACAGCTAGTGGCTAACATATTGTCAGTCAGAGAAAACATTTCCATCATCACAGAAAGTCCTGTTGGACAATGCTGATTTAGATGCTGTCACATAAGAAAATGGTTTAAAGAACTGAGACGAGTGCCTGATATATTAGGTGCTATGTTAGGCACCTTACATATGTAATACCAACCTTGAGTAAGTTTATTGATGAGGAAACTGAGGGTCAGAGAGGTTAGTTAACTTGCTTAGCATCACACAGCTAAAAAGAGGCTTGAGTCTATGTGATTCCAAAGAACTATCCCACAGTACTAGGTGGAAGCTTCAAAGATAGAATTTGCCTCAATCTTCTAAGAATACAGCTTTCCAAGGATGGAAATAAGGTGATGTTTGAAGTAGGTAACTATTCATTAGAACAGCTTAAGCTGAGCCTGAATAACCATCTGTCAGGAATACTGGAATTGATCCCTCTGTGAGGAAAGTTGTTAAATATGTTCTAAGAGTCTATGGATTCATAATACCTATGCAAACAATGAATTGGGAAAATGAAGTGTTAAGTAACATTTGCTACAGCATATTGATACCTTTTTCTCCCCATTTTCATCCTTGCTTGGATTCTTTGAGGTCTTCAGTGAAAACTGCTGTATGGTTATTTTTTCCTGTGTTAAAGACAAACTCTGCCCAATATACAGGAGTAGAGCAAGTGAGGTGGAAAAGACATTACTGGGCAAGCTAGAGAAGTTATGCCCTTGTTTAAGTGGGTATCCTTTACTGGTATTCAGTCTTTTGTTGCCCTGTGTAGCCTTTTGTTGTGGGTCCCAGAATTGTACTTCATGTGATAAATTACAACTCTATGTTTATTCACACATTAGACATAGGTTATTTTTGCAATTTTATTTTTGCGTACACATTTGCTTAATCATCACTGAAATTCTAGGCCAGGTTCAGGTAACTGAAGAGCCTTTATCACTAGTTTATATTGTCTAGACCCAAGGTAGGCTGCAAACCCAGTCTGAAGCAAAATGGGAAATAACATCTTTCTAAAGATGGGCTTAGAGATTCTAGTCCAGTAAGTTAAGATGTTTCCTTTCTCTGGTAGCGGGGCTGACTCATACCTGTAAGAAAACATTGAGACAGTTCACTAGAAAAGATAGTTGTATCAAGTGGCAAAACTGTACAATATATATTAATCCCAGAAGTCTTAAGATAAAACTAGTTTAGTAAAGATTAAGGCAATGCTATTCTCTTCACTGTGTATTAGTCCTAAAAACTGTCCTTTCCTTTTGTCCCTTTCTCCATTTCACCCCTGGAGGCTCATATAGCATAGACTGCTTGATACCAGAGTTCTTCAGAGAATAACAATTACTTTGGACTAGCAGGCTTAGAGCTAGACATTTTCTGATGAAAGTTTTCTTTAGTGGAAGTGCTCAAACTCTTCAGAACATTGTGTCTATAATGTAGCTTTCATGCTAGGCATAGTGCTCTTTGCAGCTTTGTAGGTGGCATTCAATACACAAATTAAGGTTAAGAGGTACGGTGTGATAAATTTCTACAACTGTTTTCAAATTCTTGAGAAGTAATATTTGATTACTTATAAGAAAAAAGTCTTATTAACGATTTCAAGTAAAAAATAACATTTCTTTAAAAATAGAAAATGTATTTGCTGTTTTAAGTTGTACATTTTCTAGGTAAATATTTATATATTAAGTTTTTCAATGATCATGAGAAAATAAGGAATCCTACCTGGCTGCTAGGCCACCATTCACAGGTATAGCCAAGATAACAGGGTACAGACCACCAAAAACAAGACCAACCAGTCCACCCCGTGTTATGGTACAGGTTTCACAATTCAAATCACCTAGGAAAAAATTAGTTCTGGAAATGAAGGTCATGATAGTCAAGTAAACATGATTTAAATAATGCAAAGTCCCCTTCTATGTATCCCAGATACTCAATTTTCAGGCAGTAATACAGCAAATGCAATTCTAGAAGGCATGTTAAAAGGTATAATTACATGTCCTGATAACCTAAAATAGGCAG